ATACTCTCATCCATTTGGCAAAAAAACTTCTTACATATCTAATTAATTTTAATATTAAAATATAGGTAGTTTAAAAAAATTAATCCTCACGACCCCCTTCAACCCTAACTATCCCCTCCAACCTTATTGTCTCCTCCTATCATCACCGTCCCCTCCTATCCTCACCGTCAAGAACCGCAAACAGCGATCGATTCTAGTCTTCAACAATTTCTCACCCAATTTATTTGTACTTTTCCAAGATTTTAGAACCTCGATTTATCGAGAAATTCTCTCTTGAACTTTCTCTCGAGATCTCTTTGCTAGCAATTGATTCTATTTGACAACTATTTCTCAATCTGGTAGAGAGAAATTTGGTCGAAGCTAAAGAATCTCGTCCAAGTTAATCTTCCATCAATCAAGTTTATTGACTAAATGCCGAATTTTTTTTTGCAAAACTTAGATCCATAGTTTTGATCTTTCTTTTGATTGTTTATACAAACGCATGCTATACATATATATATATATATATATATATTCATGTCCAAAATAATAAATTTCATATTTTCTTTAATAGGATTTAGCCTGCTCGGTGTGCTGGGCAATATTTGTTTTAATTTTCATTTTAAGCAATTACATGAATAATATAGAAAAAAAAACTAACATTTTAAATGAAACTAAAATTTAATAAATTAAAAAATATTACTTTGCACGTAGAGCGGGCTAAATTATAAGACGAAGTAGCTGATGAGTCCGCTCTACGTACGTAGTAATATTTTTTTAATTCATTAAATTTTAGTTTTATTTAAAAATTTAGTTTTTCTTTTCTATATCATTAATATATTGATTCTATGATTTAATTGTTTGTTGGAGTGAGAACGTTGTATAATTTGTGAATTGTATTTTGGTTTTGTTTGTGTGTGATATTTGTTTTAAGTTAGTAATTTTGTATTTATAATTATTGTATCGTTTGTCTATTATATTTTGTTATAGTTGAGAATTTGATTTACAATTAGATAGATTTGTATACAGTAAGAAAAACAAATATTGATAATTTTATTTTTTTGAACAAAATATGAAATTCAAATTATTGTTAGTTGTTATTAAAAATAAGAAGTTATGTAAGAAATTTAAAATATTCAACAAATTTTATTCGCAAAGTAAATGATTAGTATAGTGTATCTATGCAACTCAGAAATCCAAATTATATTTTAGTTACAGTTTTATGAATAGAAGTTAAAATTTTTTTTAACCAAACTTTTATTTCGGCAAAATTGTCTCATTACATTCTACTTATAATCTCAATGATTTACTATAAAAACCAATTTTTTTATGAGATGTTTATTTTGTTATATAGATGTACTGTATTTTTTTAATAATTTAATAACCATTAAGATTTATTTTGGGTTTACATGTATTACATACATTACTAATTTTTAACCCACTATGAAAACGGTTTACTATTTCTAATTTGTTTTCATTTTTATATTATTGTTTCAGCTCGAAAATAATATCATACATTTAAAGTATTAATTACATAGATTGTGACCACCACCGAGATTTTAGTTTTACATGGATTTAGCCCGCTCTACGTGCAGGGCAATTTTTTATAAAATTTGTTAAATTTATGTTATATTTGAAAGTTTAGTTTTTTTATCTATATTATTAATATATTGGTTGGGTATGTTTATTATATGATTTAATTATTTGTTGGAATGAGAATATTGTATTATTTGTGAATAGTATTTTGGTTTCGTTTGTGTGTGATATTTGTTTTAAGTTAGTAAATTTGTATTTATAATTATTGTATTTCTTGTTGATTGTATTTTGTTATAGTTCAGAGTTTGATTTTTCAATTGAATATATTTATAAAATGTAAGAAAAATAAAAATTGATAATTTCATTATATAAAATAAAATATGAAATTAAAATTATTGTTAGTTATTGTTAGAAAATAAGAAGTTATGTAAGAAATTTTAAAAATTCAACAAATATAATTGATGGATACAAATAATTTGTATAATGTATCTATACAACCCGGAAATCCTGATATATTTTAGTTACAGGTTTATGAATAGAGGATAAGTATTTTTTTACCAAAATTTTATCTTGTCAAAATCGTTCCAATACATTATACTTCTGATCTCAAATTTTGATTTCCTATATAAATAATTTTTTATATGAATTTTTTATTTTGCTATAAATGTATTGTATTTTTTGTTAATAGAAACCATTAAGTTTTTTTTTGTTATACATTACTAAATTTTAACCTACCATGCAGACGAATTACTATATTTATTTTTTTTTCATTTTTATATTATTGATTCAACCCAAAAATCCTGCTGTATTTAAGTTAGTTAGGTTAATAAACATAATTATTTTTTATCAAAAATTTATCTTGTCAAAATCATCCATTAATCTCAAATTTTGATTTCATATAAAAAATACAATTCTATATTAGATTTACTATATTTTTATTTTGTATAATGTGTCCATACAATTGATAAATACAACTACATTTGAGTTACTTAGGTTTATAAATAGAGTTATTTATTTATTTTTTAATCAATTTTTAGTCTTGTCAATATCGTCTCATTACATTCTATTCTGATTCTCAATTTCAATTTGCTAGAGATATACATTTTTATATGTGATGTATTATTTTGATATAGATTTACTATATTTTTATTATAATATACAAACCCATTAAATTTTATTTTTGGTATACATGTATTATTTGTTTTCATTTCTATATTTTAAACCTATTAAATATAATTTTTTTAATTGATCCCATATCGTTTCTAATTTTTTTTTTGAAATCAAAAGCATTCTACAAATATAAAATAGAGATATAAATAATTTGTATAATAAATCTATCCAACCCGGAAAACTGCAGCTATATTTGAGTAAGCTAACTTAATGAATGGAGTTATGTATTTTTTTTTACCAAAATTCATCTCGTCAAAACTGTCACATTACATTTGATTTTTCATGTTGAATTTTGATTTACAATTTTTTTGTTATCAACAGGATTTTTTTTGAAGATTATATTTTTTTAAAAAACAATTATAAAACAAATCCAACCAAAATTTTATTAATTATAATTAAGCTAAAATAATATCTAGAAAAACTATAAATTAAAAAAATTAGCATTAATATCGTTTAAAGATTTATTCAGTTCGTCATGTAGCTTTTTTTTTTTTTGATATTCTTAAATAATATTTATTTTATAGCCTGCTCTAAGTAGTTTAATGTGAAGAGTTAATTTATAAAAATATATATTTTATGAAATATAAGAAAATAAATATTGATATTTAGATTATATAAATATTGAATTCAAAATATATTTGCTCTAATATTTTAGTTTTGTGTTTTAGTTTGTTATAAATGTTATTTGATAATAATATATAATTTTCTTTATAAAAAAAAGATTGTGTGCTATAATATTAACAATCTAAATTAAATAAACCTATTATGTATGAGTTAGTTAGATTTATACACATAATTATTTATTTTTTATATTAGAACTATATTTGATTTGGTTATAATTATCTGTAGTTTTATTTTATATATGTTTTAATTTAAATAATAATAATTCTAAAAAACTTCTTTATTAGTCTGTTCGATGTGCAAAGTTATATAGTTAAAGAACTACACATATTCTCTATAGGATTTAATCTCTTCTATGCGTGAGAATAATCTATACTATAAACGATTGCCAACTCTCTCCATATGAGTGCAACCTCATCATTTTGGTTTATTGTGGAAATGACATGTGTCATTTTTTTAAATTTAATGATAGAAATTATGTAAAATATAATTAATGCATAAATTTAATGTATTATTAATCATAATACTAAAAAAATATGAAGAATTAGATAATATATTTTAATAGCAATATATACATAATATCCAAAAAATTATTTATTATCTATTTTGTGGTAGTTTTTAAAAATCATTAACAAAATTTATGTTTTATATTTAAGAGTGTTTTCTTATGTTTAATTAATATAATAATATATTATTATAAAAACAATTATACAAATATGAAAATAAAAATTATTTTATATTTTGAACCTTAAAAAGTTAGAAGAAAAATTTATACAATATTATAATAAACTTTAAAACAATTTCTTTATAAAATTATAATTATTTGATAATTTGTTTTATTCAAATTTGATCCATTAACAATTTTAAAATTAATAAGATATCAAATTCATGATATATATATATTTATAAAATATTTAATGCAGCTGTAATTAGAATTATAAATCAATTTTTTAAGCTCATAAAAATATAAAACCAAGGCATTGCTATTGCGTAAATCTACGCTGTGAACAAGTATGACCTGTTAAAAAGAGTCGTCTCTATCTATGTTGTGATTGAAGAGTTTCTTTAATTAATTTTTATTATATAGTACTTCTCTGATTTGCACTATATCCATTTAATATATTCTATATATACACGGTATAATATATTTCATATTTTCTTATCAATAAATTATTGATCATATATATAATTATTATCCACATAATCTATAAATATATATTGTATGTTTATTCAAATACACAATATCTTTTAAAATTTTTAAAATATACGATAAAATAAATTGTAACTACACCTTTTAATAAATTATATTTTGAAAAAAAATCCGCGCATTGCGCGGGTACTCATCTAGTTTTTATAAAAATTTAAAATGTCGGAATTGATTGATTTTTTCAATTCGGTAGTTGTCTGATTTGGGGTTAGAAACATAAACGTAATATTTGATTTGTTATGGTTGTGATAGTTAATTTTAATATTAAATTAATTATTTATGGTTATATAAAATCAAAATTTGACTATGTTTTGGATTTTAAATATTAATTATTTGTTAAATAAAAAAGAGTTGATAAGTCTATTGTTCTACACATAACTCTTCTACTTGTCTTGCACACACGAAAAAAAAAAGGTCCTCTACTTCTCTTTCTACTTACTCCATCTCTGCAAACTCTTCGTTATCTCAAGCAATCTCTTTGACAGGATCAAAATCGTCTCCAAGAGAAGGCCAGAAAGGTTTCAGAGCTCCGTGGAAGTGTGTCGGCTTCGTGCCTCCTTCGATCGCGCTCTCGCTCCTCATGAGTTTCTGTGAATCGCTACTCTATGTTCCTCTTCATCGTCCATCTTTTTCAATGGTTGATCTGGAATCTGATCGTGTGTTTGTTTCTTCTGTTGCATTTTGATTCAGATCTTAGGCCCCAAGGACAATTTAAAGGATATTGAGAAAACCCAATTGAGAATTCCGCCTTCCTTTAGGTAAATTTCTGGGCTTTAGTGTCTTTGCAGTTTGATACCGTCAAGTGGGCAATTTAATTTTGATTTGGGATTGCCGATGTATCTGATTGCATGAACATTATGTTTTAGTTTGTTAGACTACTTAAGTAGCTTGTCTTAATTAGATTTGCAAATAAGTTTGTTTTTATTTGTTTTTTGATGCTTGAAATGGCAAAATCACTGTGGGAACGTTTTGTAATATGAAAAAGTTGAGATTCAGTTTATTTGTGTGATGTTTGCAGAAGAAAAAACTGCCAACTTGCAAATGATGGTTAAATTCACCAGAGGAATGACGGTGATGTTATGGTGATTGATGTTCGGTGTGTTCCAAATAATTATCATGCCAAATATAAGGCTCAGGAGCGCACGTAGGTATTCTCTATACATCACTCATTAGAAAGGCTAAGATTCTATTATTCTAGAGATCTACTGCTTGCTAAAGGGGGCCGGATCCTTTATCCATCCTCGCTCTATGCAGGTTCAAGTACTTGTATTTTGAGCAGCTTTTCCGTTACTATGATCAACATCAGCAGCGTGATCCAATTTTTTTTATTTCTCATTTAAAGATAACACCTTAGCCCTTCTCTAAGGACCATAGTCAATGATTCGTGAACCGGAAGAATGCAGAGTTATTGTTGGATCTCATGATTCTAGCTCCTTCAGGGCAGCTGGTTGCCAGGTCTAACTTCTTTGTATTTTTACTGTTTCATACTTCCTGTGCAAAAATATATTTTCTTACTTGACATTGTAATAAAAATTATATTAAGTAGGACTAACCTTTGAATCGTAGATAACAATAGAACCTCGGTGAAATAGAATTTTTTGGAAACGGTCTATTATCTTCAACTTTGTAGAAGAAATAAACATTTTAAGTATCAAGCATGTATTTTTCCTTGCCCTTATTACATGAGCATGTATCATGACATGCTGCAACTTTAAAATAGCTTAGTTAGTCCGCAAGTATAATGAACATGTAAACTGATCATGTCTTAACATCGTGACAAATTTTACTTACAGATTCATGAGCAAGAATCAGCTCTTGTTACTCACCAAACTGCCTTCTATTACTTCCTTGACCGAAGGACTTTTAACCGCAATCTCCATGTTTTAAAGGCTTTGCATCGGAAAGGTAAGAAAAAGCAATGAGAGAACTCATTCTCTTTGCTATGATGTTAATACTCTGTTCCAATTCCGTTAAGCTTAGAGTAAGCTGCTCTTTTCATTAAAAGAAAATTAATATCTAAGATTCATGATAAAAAATGAGTTATGAGACTTACTTGCCCGTTTTTCATTGCTTCCTCAATGTCAACCGTGACAAGGTATTGTCACTGCTAGATTCAGAGTTGTTAATCTATGTAGACATTGTAAATTTTAATACGTCAGATCGGTAGATAATAGAGAATATTATAGAAGCAGTGATGCTGTTTGATTAGAATAGACTCTTACCTTTCCATGTTTGGAGGACATGAGCTAGAATGCTCCAAGCTTTTTTGAAAGACTTGAAGTCTTTTAGATAGAGAGTGGGAAGAAGCGCATCAATTTTTCCGATTTGACAAAGCTCTTAGGATGCTTTAAGATAAATTGCTTTGAAGTATGTTTTCTATCATGCTAATGGTTTTTTTTATAGTGTTTCAAAATGATTACGGTATATTTAAAAAGATTGACATTCAAGAATTTTATTTAAAGATCTTCAATTAGTTGGTAACTGCTTAAAATTTTTAATGATATTCACAATCTTATTAGGCAAGATTGTTGATTAGCCCGTTAAATATTGATATGTTTGTTATGCATAAGCAATTAGTTCGGGATTTCCATATTTGCTTACTTATTATATTTTCCGTGATATGCGTTCCAATTGTTATTTAATTTTCCGTTTCTGAAACAGGTGAATAAAAGAAGTTGCAATTCGACGAGGCCAATCAAATTTTCTAATTCAAGCTTGGTTTGATTTAAGTGACTCAATAGGATCCGCGTCTTTTGAAATGGGTCTCCAATCGGGTCGAGTCGAGCTACTGAGTTGACTCAGTATCTTATGTCAGTTTTAACCTCTACTACACTTGTTACCAAACACATTTTAGTCAATAACTGAGTGGCATTCAGCGTAAATACATTGATTTTTTCTATTGTTTGACAAAACGACTTCTCGAATAATATTATAGAGATATGTACATATTATTAAATGTAAAATTATATGTTTTTTTAACATGTTACTTTATTTCTTTTATCTTGTAACTATATCTATAACTTTATATAAAAGTCTAAATAATAAATACATATATTATAGTTAAATATCAAGTATTTAGTTTTTTAACATGTTAAATTATTTATTATATCATATTAATATAAATCTGTATCATTTATATTTTATTTTATTCGCTAACGTTATTAGTTAATATGTTCACTTTTGTATTAGTGTATTTATGTATAACAGTCTTCCATTGTGTTTTTCAAACATGTTGCATATATAATAACATGAGTGAATTTTTGTAAGTTTTGTTTATTTTGATTTTGCATATAAAAAAGTAAGAAGAAAGCAAAATGGGAGAAAGAGAGAGAGATGAGAAGAAAAGAAAACCTTATATACTCATTATTGGTGAATCCCACATGCACCGTGTGGCAATGGATGTAAATAGGTGACAAACCTTTTATTTTTCGGCACCTTTTTGTCTATTTCTTCTAACATATATCCATTTTGTCAATCTTCTAAATGAAATCTCAAACTTTGTCATCTACCTCTTTATCTCTATAAACAAGCTGAAGCACGAAAATGCAGAAAATAAAAACTACAAATCATTTAAAAAAGATCTAAGATCTTTGTTTCCAGTTTCATTGCTTTGCTACTTTGTTGTTTTGGGAGAAGATCTCAATCATTGTTCATCACTAAGTGTTGTTTCTGAACTTTATCATACAATGTTTTCAATTGTTTTTCTTATTGTTTCTGACATAATATCGAGAATACCATCAATCTTGGAGTAGAGGATCAATGGACATGATGGTCTAGCCAAGGATAAAGGAAAGACGATCTCTCTTGGAGAACATATCATGAATAAAGGAGAGACTATCTTTCATGATTTGTTTATTCTAGACCTTAATATTTCCGTGCATTCAGACTCAATCAGGACTTGGAAAGCTTACTCAACTCACCTAAAGTTAACCACGAAGAAGAATCAGCTAAAAAGAAGTCCACATGAAGAAGATATTAAAGATACAAGTTGGCAGATCTTTAATAAATCCGCTGGAGACATGCAACCACTAATAAAATCAGTCCAGACAAATGACGACGAATCAAGTAACAAGATTATGTTTTGAAAACTTGGCTCATCAGAGAACCTAAGAAAATTGGATTCATGCCAAAATGTTTTATGGTTTAAAAGTTATTCAATTTCTAAACCGGCTGATGCTCAACCTACCATATTTGGAAGCTCTCGGGATTAATCATTTGCTAACCAGATTTTGGCGACCAGGAGAGATTATTTATCAGCTGTCCAAGACATCTTACCATGCTCCAGCATCTAGAGGATTAGGCAAATCCTTGCCTAATTCTACTTTCCTAATCTAGATGTGTTCACACTTGGAGCATTCATTCACCAACGTTTCCTGCCTTTTTCACCAGTTCACAAGCAAGACTCACGCCAGAGACTATCTACACGAGATTTCAGTCAGGATTTAATGACCCTAGATGTCCCAAGACATCACACGTTCAGGCCAAAGCTCTCAAGATTCAAAAACAACCCATATTACTTTTAATTTGGCCAATTCTCTCTTTAAACCCCTAACAGCTAGTTTTTAGATTAATTTATGATTTCTTTCCTAGTTTAGAATAACTGGACATTGTACTGAGCATCTATATAAGCTCATCTTATAAATCAATGTTAATAACCCTTTTCAATCAAAAAACAAGTATAATACAAATATTTTCATTTTATTCAAAGAGTGTCTTTGTTTAAAAACAATTTATCTTTAGTTTCAATCGAAAAATTCATCTGATTCTATAGATTATAGAATTGGATTTGTTTGTGTGATTCAGACAGGTCTAGTCTAGAAAGGCTGAGTGAGTCATTCATCCCAATGATTGAGAGAGTCAATAAAACTTCCACCACCATCTCTACATTCATTCACTTCCACCAAGCTAGTTGATCAGTTTTTGATCACCATTTGTTCTAAAGGTTGTGAAGTGATTCCCAATCTTATGTCATATGGTATTAGAGTTTCAAAAGCTTATATTCATCAGGTTATGTTATTCCAACCCTTATCTTTTATTTCCTATTGTTATTTCCTACATATCAAAAACCACAAAATTGTGTTTGTTTCAGTTTGTTCTATTTTATTTGAATATTTTAATAAAATCTAAAAAAAAAACCATAAAAAGCGTTCTGCTTTATTTTCTAAACCTTTTGTTTTAACTAAAATTAAAAAATTAAAAATTTATTGTTTGATTCTGTTTTTTGCTTAAATTTATTTTGTTTATTCTTGTTTAATTCTTTGATTTGTTTTATTTGTTATCTTATAAATCCAATAATATGATCCTCCCAAGGAATCAGCACATATCAAGTTGAGAATGGATAGAGGTGGCTGTGAAGCTATGATGATGGATGATGGTTTGAATGATTGATGGTTATCAGCGAAGCTTGCCAAAAGAACTTCAAGATAATGATTTAAACAACTTTGGATATACACACCAAAGAGTCTAAGGGGTTTGCTCGATATACACACCAACAAGATGATCTTCTTTAGAAAGGATTTTGATTACAAAAAGATGATTTCGTCCAAAGTACAAGAGAGATTATAAAAAGAAGAGAATGAAGAAAAGAAGAGAAGAAGAAATTAAGACAAGTCTTGGAACATGCTCCAAGACTAATCTCGAAAATCAGCAAAATAATTAAAACAAAGTTTGAATTTGAAAAATAACTCTTGCATTTCTTTGACGACGAAAATAGAATAGAAAATGGGTCTGGTTATGATTAACAAAATGGACTCTAATGAAGTGAAACATAAGTCTCATTAAAAAATTTCATTTGGAAAACCCATTGGGATAAAACCAAAGGTAAGGGAAAAAACGCACCTATGAATCACTTATCCATTTGTTGAATCACTTAGCTTGTATGGAGACCAATGATGGGTTGATCATGTCTTCATTATGATTTTTTTGGCTCTAAATGTGTTTAAGTAATCCCACAATGGCTTTGTTGAATATCTTGGCTCTAGATCAAGTCATAGGTCTACTTGGCATCTCTACAGGATTTTTTGCTAGAAGCTCTTCCTCAGCTACACGCTCATCTGTATCTTGCTCCAAGTCCTATCTGCTATCCATTATCATATCCCTTCCCTCTTGAAAAGGATTTGACCTCAAATCCGTTTCATCTGCAATAAAGGGAACTAGATAAGAAACATTGAAACTTGAACTTACATTATACTTACCTTGCAGATCAAGTTGATAAGCATTATCGTTTATTTGCTTGTTGATCTTGAATGGACCATCAATCCTTGGAATAAGCTTGGATTTTCTCTCATTTTTGGAATCGCTCCTTTCTCAAGTGAATCCAAACTTGATCCCCAACATTAAAGACCATTCTTTGCCTTCCTTTGTTAGCTTTCTTAGTGTAGAGCCTAGTTTTCTCTTCTATGTTCCTTCTAGCCTTCTTATGGATCTGTTGAACTATTTCAGCCTTATTTTTCCCATAAATGCTTGCTCTTTCACTCATAGGTAATGGTATTAGATCCACAGGTGAGATAGGATTAAACTTATAAACAATTTGGAAAGGAGAAAACTTGGAAGCACAATGCACAACATGTATAAGCAAATTCAATATGAGGCAAGCATTCTTCCCAAGAATTTAAGTTTTTATTTATCAGTGCATACAAGAGAGTCCCTAAGGTTCTATTAACCACTTATGTTTGGCCATCAGTTTGCGGATGACATATAATAGAGAACAAGAGCTTAGTTCTTAGCTTAGACCAAAGGGTTTTCCAAAAATAACTAAGGAACTTAGTGTCTCTATCCGAAACTATAGACTTAGGCATCCCATGCAAACAAACTACTTCTTTAAAGAATAGATTAGCTATATGCAATGTGATAACTTGCTATATTAGAGTATTTTAGGCTGCATTTCATGCATCTTTCCCCTTGTTTTTGTATGTTAGTTTAGCATTTTAGTCTCATTTGCACTTAGAATCAATATTGCATGCATTTAGTTTAGGATTGCATACATATGCATATATTTGCATGTTTGTGGTGTTTCTCAGGTGCTTTTGGAGGTTCTTGTAGTTTGGGGAGGAGATGGAAGCAACTTATGTTCGAAGAGATGTCAAAGAAGGAGATTTTCCATGTCTGGTCCCATATCGAGATGGTGCATTAAGCAAAACCTCCGAGGAGTATGCCCGATACAAGCCGCGGTACGTGAAGAAGAAGACTAGCTCGTGGATCCTAAGGCACAGTCTACATCAAGGTGCTTCATCGAGCAAGGAACGACTGCACAAGTCGATATTCGCAGCACAGACCATATCGAGGTTGTGCATCGAGCAGAATACCATCCGTACCACCCGATACAACATTTCCATGTGTTTGACCAAATTTTATCATTGACCTTATCTTATTCTTAGGTTTTTCCATCCTTTTTGGTTCCTTACTAGAAAAGGGAAGCCACCAAACTTTGTCATTATGTCACAACTTTTCTAAAACCTTATCTCATCTTGTTCATCACCTAAAAGGGCGATTTACCTTAGATTTGTAAACATGTTTATTTTCTTCAATCAAGTTTGGATTTTTATGGTTTAATCTTGTCTTCTGATCTTTGATTTAGCATCCTGGTAGTTTAGTTTTCATTATCTTGCATTTAATCTCATCTGATCATGTTGAACTCTAATCAAATGGGATTAAACATGATTAGTTAGTAGTTTACCTTAGATTTAGGGTTCTAAGTAGGGACAGTAGTGATTAGGATGTGATTAGGGGATGATTAGGCTTGATTAGTTGTTCTCTATTGTTTTCTTCTCTTGCAAAATGATTATTGTTCATAAAGCTTCTTCCTTTTGATTGAATATAGCATTCTTGATGCAAATGATTCACTTAATGGCTTGATATCTCATTTCTATGCATGATTCACTTATTTGGTTTGATAGTGACACCATTGTGATAGTTCAGCCTGCTAGATGATTTGCTTAGGGCTTGATAGTGCCAGTTTTGAGATTCTTGCTTGATGGTTAGATAGTTTGCATTATGAGAACATGCTTTT